AGGGCTTTCTTGCAGCATCTTGCGGCAATTTTTATGCACTAGCCAACAGAGGGATAAGCTCGCAACGGTGCAAACCCCACGACCACATACAACACCCCACCCGAAACCAGAAAGAACCTTAAAATCCATCCTGGAACCTGCGATCTGACCAACTTTATGAGATTTAAAACCACGCGCTGCAGGGCTTGGGGGTTTGCTTTTTTTCTGCATCCACTACCCAAAGAGCCCAGGATACTTGGGGCATTGGGCTCCGAAAGAAACTAGATGCGGAAGCAACCCGATAGCCTGCAGACCCTCCCCCGACTTGCTGCGAAACAACATCCTGGACAGGAGCCGAGGCTGCGGCGGCCATCTCTGGCAGGACGGAGGATGCCGCACCATGCGGCCGAAGCCTTAGCAAACTCTCAGAGAAAAAGAGGATCGCCGGGATGTTCGACTCGAGCCTTAGCCTCTTGTTGCCGAGTAGCTGAGGCAGGCATGATAAGTTGGGTCATGCTACGAACTCCTTGAGTTGGACTGGAACTACTGGATTCTCTTGAGTGTGCTTTGTGTGGAATGGACTGGTGAGCTCAGTGATGTGAGCTCCAGTTGTCGACAAAGGGGGTCCAGATTTTTTTGGGATTCTGTTGTTTTTTATTGTTGCTGCTGGCTTGCACCGTAGCCCTTTAAAGTTTAAAGGTTTAAGGTTTAGGGTTTAGTGCCTAAACCCTAAACCTAAACCCACCGAAAGAAAAAGCAAGAGGCAGAAAACAAGAAAATCCCAAAACAAAACAAGCATCCCAAAATAGTTCATATTCCCGAGATCGTCGAAATGTACTCCTTTGTAGAGCCCAATACCCAAAACCCGTGAGAACCCTGTCAGGGAGCATTTCGTCTTATCATAAAGCAGCATGCTTCAGGTTTCTGGCCGCTAGCTCTGGCATAGCTCTAGGCGCCCGTCTCGAGCTCGACGTGCAGAACTCCCACGGAAAGCTGATGTCGTCGACCAACACCCTGGGCACGCAAAGGAGCTCGGGCTTATTCGCGTATGCTCGGATCCTCAGAAGCCTCACGCCTTCCAGACCCCACGCCCTGGGCAACCCGATTGACATGATCGTCTACAGTTAATTACACCATGCAAGGCGGATAGCTTCACGTGATAATCATGCATTCGGTCATGGTTCTTCATTGCTAGCACATTGTCACCGGAGCATCGCTTTGACAAATGGCCAAGTACCCAGGATTTGAAGCTTGAAAAACACCCTTGCTTTTTGGGTGCCGCCGGCGACCTGGTAGGACCTAAAGTGACTATCTTCAAACCTCCGACTCCTGACTATGACACCCAGACAGCGAGACAGCGAGGCAAAGCCCTCAAACGGACTGATGTGCGACACCTGATCCAAAGACCCATGGGCTCACCCAAAGCCTGATGGCTGTAACTTTTAAATAACTTCCCATCTGAATACACTCCAGGCCACCTACCAAAGCCTCCCCAAGACGAAGCAAAACTGACGTAGTCCCACGAATATGGCTGCCTGCAGCTCCACCGTCAGCTTCTGTGGGCCAGCCGTTGTCAGGCAGTGCCTCCTGGAGGACGAGGTTTAGGGCTTAATGTCTAGTTTAGGCCGGTTTAGGCTTTAATCAGGGTTGAGGCTTGGTCCTTCCGAGCGCGATTCGGATTGTGAAGCACAGAGGGCTCTGCAAAAGAATTGAACCAATTACGCCCCATGCGAATGGCAACGCCGAGCCCATGCACCGATTATCACCGATTGCACCAAGGTCCCAACCATTCGAGGCGGTGACTCGAAACCAAAGTTCCTGCAGGCTGAGGCTCATGGACTTGAAAATGGAAACCCCAAGCTCCAAAGCATGATCCAAAATGGCACACACAGGGCTTCATGGTTTAAACGTCTAAGCTTCTTGCAAGCTTTCCAGCCAACACTTGACGCTTGCAGGCCATGCTAAAGCAGTGTGGGGCGACTCATCAAAGGCCTGTGAGCCACGAACCCGCAGAGCCAGAAGCCCTATAGATTCTCTTTACGTGACATGCGCTGAAGTCTCAAAGAGCTACGTACCCTGGACCCTGCATCACATGCGTTCGCTCAGCCCTGACTCTTCAAGAACCCTAAGCCCAAAAACTGCTGATCTTCAGGCTTGTCTCAACTTTACGCCGAAAGGGCACCCGCTTCTTGCAAACATGGCAACTAAGGTGGTTGATAAGGTGGTTGAAGTTACGATCAACTTCACCCCCGGCCTGAGCCCCAATCCCAGGGCGGATCTTCGCCGCTTCCGCCTCGGATGTCGGTTGCATTCGGGCACGCGTATACGGCGTATACGCGACTTGCGGTATCCACGAGCTGGGTCTCCGACTGCCACCACGGCACACCAAGACCAGGTGGACCTGCCATTGACTCGTTCCAACAGGGCATGTTGCTTTTTTCATGGGCTCACAAAAAAACCTCTGATGAGGCGGCAAAAAGGAACCGCAACAACCTTCACACATCTGACAGCGCATGGAAATTTGCACTCGCGGGGCTGGCCGGGGCTGCGTGTAGAAGCAGTCCTCAGGTCAAGGCAGCTGTCACAAACATACATACTACTTTCGATCAAGAACCTCACGAGGAAGAATTTTCTAGCCTCTTTACTCACGTAGCCGCACGAGCATCCGGAGGGTGATCCGCAGAATGCTGAGAGAAGTCACTGCGATGGAAGGCCTACATTCAAGAAAGACCAATCTGGAATGAGTGAAACAGTTGACTTCTTTTTTGGGAGGACTTCGGCACACCTTCGTTGCCAAGGCGAAGGACAAAACACCAAGGCATTAGGGTGGCTGAAACGGCGAAGGCAAGTCAAGCCAGAGGCATGACCTAAACCAACGGTTCTAAGAGTAAAGGCTGGCTCAGTTTCAAAGTCGTGCAGCGTCAGAATGTGCAACATCAGAGCTCGGAAACTGCGCACACCTTTGCCGATGGGAAGCCTGCTATGAAGAAAATCCGACGAAGCCCGAAGAAGGTCACAAAATCAGCCAGCAACAAAATCCAACAGCATCTACACAAGGCAATGTTCAAACCAGTTCGGCCCTAGCGTCCATTGCGTGAGGCCGCATCTGGGAGCTTTAGGAAAAGCGCCTGCCACTTGGCAAAGTCTTCTCGGGTTTGTGCTTCGGGATTTAGTCCTCAACAGTTCGTGGGTTTAGCAGAAATGGATGAAGAGCACACGGATCGCATGCACAGAATGTTGACCCCAGCTATGGCAATCTCGAGATGCAACATTCGAATCGCTTCCAGTATGCTCCGAGCTTCATACCGTTTACTTTTGGGTTCAGGAGGGCCCCAGCTGACGGACACTACGAGGTCGTCGACTCAGTGCAGGCAGCATGAGTTTCAGCTGACATCTTTCAACGATATCCGCTAGCCGCCGACCTGCACTTCCTCCTCTGCCCCACCAAACACTTCGACGATAGCGAAACGATCACACTGAACAACTTCACGCACGGTCTTTGCTCCTGATAGATAGTAGCTAGCTTGTCTGCCAGCGTTCATACTATATAGAAATTTCCGCCACCATTTCTTTATTCTTGATGCTAATTACAAGCTGCACCAAGCTGCGAGTTTTGAGTAAAGCGAGAGGCCAGACACCTCGTCCCAGCGCTGCGTGACCCCGGCAGGAACCTGGCTGGGCAGACTCCGTAGATTAGTTAGCCAATGTGAGCCAGATTCAGTCCCAACCCAAGCCCCTGCACGCCAATCTCCGAAACCTCACACTGAGGGCAGTCTGTCTCTGGTGAATTACTTTTTCGAGTGGGGGGGTGTTGTTCGGGTCAGGGTTTGGTCCCTTCATCTAGGTTTCCTTCGCCAGCTCAGGCCAGGAAATTCTGGGTAATGGCTCAGGATTTTGACCAAGACATTGACGCGTGGTTGGCTCAAGTGATATTGCTCTCACATGAATTAACTAGGCACGCCGCGATCACGCCGCGTGCGCAGTAATTCTGTAAAAACCAAAATGACATTTAAAGCCGCGGCCCGAAACCAAAACAACAAAACCATGATCCTCGAACCCCCCAAGATTTTCCCCTGTGATTCACAGATGCTCACAGCGTTCCCTGCGCAACCCTGGGGCGCCGCGCCGCACGGCTGCGCAGTCGTGTGGCACCGAAAGCCACGTGCCAGGCGAGTTCCCGGCCTGGCATTCTTTGGCTTTCGTGGCTTCGAGGCCTTGCTTGGTATGTACACGAAGAGGTGCTCGAGCATAGAGGTTTCATTTCATGTTGGTAAGGTCCGGCAATGGCCAATTCCGGACGATTTCGACTCGTTGCGAGCGATGGGTTCTTTGCATTGCTTGCGCTGCTCCGCTATACAATGCCAGCCTGCCGCATCTGCATCATCCAGGTAGTCCAGGAAAGCGTGGCCTTTCAACACTATTCATCTTGCATTTTCCGTGGCCTGGTCTACGATTCTATTTGGCATTGCCCAGCCATGCCCAGCCACATTCCCAGTCAACCGTATGCCGTATACGTCCGGATACATCCGACTCCCAAGCATACGCAGGAAGTGTCCGAGGTCCTTCAACGAGGCGCAAGCAAAGCTGCCAGGAACCCGGCCTTCGCGACAGCCAGGCCAGGATACTTAGGGGTACACTGGCAAGATGGCTGTATACGGTTTTGCACCAGTGGTCTGATGATGATGATGATGATGATGATGATGATCACCGCTGTCGCACAGGTGCGATGCTGCTATGCATTCCTTCTTGAAGTCGTGAAGCTACAGGTAGCAGTGACACAGCGAAAGGACTCCCGAACCGTGACTGCGTCTGTTCTCCAAACGCTGTCGTTTGCGCCATTTGCAGCTCTGCGTCAGGAAACCCCCTGAGCAATCTGTACAAGCAGCGCGGGTGCAGCTGCTGTCAAAGATCTCTACATTTGACACGCGGTTTGGCTGACACTGTGGGCTTCTTGCGTAAGCACTGTACATGACCCGTGCACTTTGCGGGACTCTGCGCTGTTGGCAGGAAGGAAACAAGGGCTAGGCACCTGCAAGAGCAGACTGCTTGGCCATGGCAGTCATGGCAGTCTCCAGAATCACCTCGGTAGCTCGCTGTACCCCTCCGGCCGCCTGCATGCGCTTGCTGAGGCCGACTGCCGCCTGGCGGAATGGGTTGCCTGGGTCAGCATCCACCAACTGCCGCATGGCGGAGCGTAGGCCCGGGCCGGTGAGGGTCTTCAGTGGCGAGGCAAAGGCGATCCCGGCGCCAGCCTCAGCCACGGACAGGCTGTTGGGCACCTGGTCTCCAAAAAGCGGCACGCCAACCAACGGGATTCCAAAGCCAAGCGCCTCGTGCATGCTGTTGGCACCACAATGCGAGAGGAAGGCGTGGCACTTCGGCAAGAGCTCAATCTGTGGCACTGTCTTACGAACGATGAAGTTGGAAGGCGGTGTGGGCAGGCCATCCAGCACGTCAGGCTGACAACCCACGACCAATACCACAAGGAGGTCCTCCTCCTCCTGCAGTGCTTCGAAGACTGTTCGGAAGACGAACTGCACGATCTCTTTGCCGGTGCAGTTCTCCAGGCCGTTGTTAAGCGCCTGCGAACTCAGCTTCTTGTCCCAAAGGTGGGAGTTTGCAACGGTGCCCAGAGAGACGAGCACAAGGCGCTTGGATTCGGCCGAATCAATGACATCCCAGGGAAGTTCGCTGGACTCCATGGACGGCTTAGACTCCGCATCGCACGCGGAGGGATGGGACACGCGCTTCACCTGGCCGGAGAAAACTCCGAGACCGACTTCAGGCCAACAACTCCCCACAAGCACATACAAGCACAACATCTAGAGCACAAGCCCCACCATCCCCCACCTTTGTGTCAACCAACGGCCCCACGCAGGTGAAGGGAAAGTGACCGAATCGGTCACGCTGCATGCCCTGCACTGGTGGCACGAAGAGCCCATCAATGGTGGTGACGATGCTGCCCTGTGGGGAGTAGAACCTGGCTTTTAATCCAGGCTTCCAAACTGTGGCCGGTACTACTTATTGTAGAGTGTGAGATCAAGCATCACATGTGAAGCAGAACCCGGCATTCGGCAACAGAAGACGGTGAAGGTGATGCATCACTTGAGGGCTGTTACATGTAATGATGCTCCACGTTGCATCTGCTAGAGACTGGTCCAAACTACTTCCCAAACCCAGGAACTCCATCAGCCCGCCATTCTCAAACACGTCAACGCCGTAGGCGTCCCGGATCTCCTTGCTCGCCCTGCGAACCACCTGAGGGATCCCCAAAGAACGAAGCAGCTCCGAGTAAATCCCCTAAGAATATCCTCCCCTAAACCCTAAACCCTAAACCCTGAACCCTGAACCCTGAACCCTGAACCCTGAACCCTAAACCCTCCTCTCAGCAAATTGAAAGCAGTTGCCCCCCTCTGAGGCCTCGTTGGACTCCCACTTCTCCGTGACCGGTGCCGGCCGCGCGATGACACCCGGGCCCGGCATCGTCAGCCTTATGTAGATAAATACATATAAAAATGTATATATATATATAATTATATCTATATATATATATCTCTCTCTCTCTCTCCGAAGTATCTCAAGTTCTGAGACGCATTGAGTTGTTTTTAATATGCGGGGGCAGCCGGGAGCCGATGGGAGAGACAATTTGAAGGTCCGGGATGTCTGGCAAGAGGCGTGCTCACCGCAGGGATACCCAAGATGCGTGCTGCCACCTGCCGGGCAAAAGGAAGGGCACAGGGAAGGCCACTATAGGCTCCTTTCGATGGTGATCGTGAATTGCGACTGCCTTCAGACTCTCTTTGAGGGGTTGAAGCTCTTGAGGGCTTGGGCTGAGGGGGTTAGGTCTACATGCGGCAACCGCAAGGCGCTGATTTCCAACTGATCTTCAACATGCCCCGCCAGTGGATGGGGCAGGAAGGGGTCGTACACGATGACGGTGGGAGGCGGGCTAAGGCTTCTCCTGAGCTGCGCGCAGCGTTTATGCCTTTGTGCCTACATCATCCTACATCTCCACCCAAGGGACTTGACACGGGACTTGACACGGCAGGGACACGCCCTGTGGCTGTGCATGCCTAAGGCCACCAAGCGTCAACTCTGAGAGCAGCCCTGGCAACTGATCGGCTGCCTGGGCCAGCATGTTCATGGGAAACCTGAGAGGCTGATTTTTCACTCACTCTTTGAGGTTTTCGAAGGAGTTGGAAGCCGGGTCTTGCAGGTGCTGCTCTAGGGTTTTACGTCAAATTTCGGGATGCCGAGCCTCAGGCTCACCAAGTTTTGGGACTTGGAGGCTTTGATTAACTTTTGTGACTGGGCTGGAGCATTGCCGTCTGAAAAAGCTGCTGGGACCTTAGACCGGCTGCACTGCCCTGTGTGCTCTTGGCGAGGCACTCGTACTCGTCCGGGAGCATGCCGGCCGGAACGTACTTCGCCTGAAGAGTGTCACCCATCAGTGGCGGAATGGCTCAAAAAGAGAACAAATGCAAAAATAAAACTAAGAAAGAAGCAATAACTAAAGAAAGAAAGAGAGAGAACAAAAAACAATAAGAAACAAAAACACACAAAAGAATGACAGAAAGAAATAACAAGTAAAGAACAAAAGGAATAAGACAGAAAAAGCAACATACAAGACGAACGAAAGAATTACATAAAGACAGGAATGAAACAACAAAGAAACGCAGAACAAAAAAAAAAAAAAAAAAACGAACAGCTGAACGGCTCACTGGCGTGCATGATTCTAGAATAGCCCCTTTTCAGTTGGCACCGGTGAGGGCACCATAACACAGAGGCACACAAGTTCAATGAGAGCGCTGAGCACCCTTCTCCTAAACCCTAATCACCTCGCCTTCTGCTCCTCGGTGAGCTCCTTGTGTCCCTTCCAGCATGGCGGGTTGGCCAAGGCAAGCCGGTTCAGACGGGGTTTGAGGGCTTCGAGCCCACATCTGGGGCAAGGTTTCTTCCTAGCCCAAACCTAAAGCACATGCAGCAGCATTCCCTGCGATCTTCTGCGACCCAACAGTTCCCAACACATCCGAGCTGACCCAGCAAGACCATGCAAGACCTTGGGCTGCAAACTCAGAGCCCATTTCTGGCCTCGAGGAGCTTCCAGTGGGCCCCCGCAGCCTCCACCACCTGAGGCTCGCTTTCGGGGGCACACGGACTTCGAGGCCAAGGATCCTAAGCCCCGACGCCGAATCCCCAAGCTCCAGTATTTGGATGTGTTTGGAGGGCTTCAGGGCTCAGGAGCTTCGCATGAGGGATTTGGGGGGGGGGGGGGGGGGGGATGGTTGAGGCCTCTCGCATCTTCGCTTCGACGAAGTAAGTCACTGCCACGCCTCGCGCACCTCCGGAGAATGAGTGGATCGATGCTCTCAATTCGCCGATGCCGACATTGGGTGATGAACATAGGGTTGCTAAGTTGCCCTTCCAATGACATGTGATTACTTGGCGCTGCGCTGACCCGACTTGACAGCAGACTCTACAATAGTAACCAGAGATATCAATTGATACCAGAAGACCTCGAGAAGGGCAGATCTCAGAGAAGACTCAGAAATTCGACCTCGACCCATGAACGCAGGCATGCGGCACAGTTCAGACACCACCGGCAGGGTGGGGTTCATGTGCCCCGCCGCACCAATATTCACGAAGACCACATGCTGCTGCGCCATGCTGGCCCAGGTGCAAGTCTCTCAACAAGGTGCCGCTGCAAAGGAAAATTCTGGAAAGCTGAAGCGGCTTCGTTTGGAGGTGAGACGCAGGGTTGATGGTGCGCAGTGTCCCATGATGAGGGGCAGTACATGTCAATGCTCAGCTGCCCTTTCAAACCGACAATTTACCCTCCCACAAAAACAACACGACACCCGTGTAACACCGGAACTCCCAACCTTACTGTAAAGACCCGAGTACCCCGAACCAGCTCAGGCGCATTCAGGCGCCGTGCTGGACTGCTGTGTCGGTGCTGCCGGAGTTGTCTCTGCCCAGCACCTCACGCACGGAAGAGCCAGTGTGCTGGCATCTAGATCTAGAGAAAAGTTCGGGAAGATGTGCAAATTTTAGGGTTGAGGATTTCAGCATACTTCAGCTCTGCGTGCTGTTTGCATTGCTCCGAGGAAAGTTGCCTTGATTGTCCACATGGTCGGCAGCGACGCACTCCATTGCATGAGGCGTCCAGATCGAAGCTTGATGCCCTTTTGTCAAAACGAAGCTCATGGCGATGACCCGCACAAATTGTTTGCGCATGCCCTTGAAAGCCCTTGTCTCCAGGCCTCTGGCGGAGGCACGGGGCGCACAGTTTCGCTGGGCGCCTGCGGGTGAAGCTTCTGTGTTTTCACTGTGTGTTACGTTTCTTCGCAATGGTCAATAAATCTACGCTATAGACGGTCATCTGTGCAATCTTGGTGCAAGCACATTTATGTTTTTGCATTTCGTGCGTTCTAAACTCTAAACATCCTTGCAGATGCTGCATTCGATTGTATGGTCTGTTGAGCACTTAGGAAATACAGGAATTGCTCACTTCGATCACAATGCCAACTAGATGCAGTTGTTTTACTGGGTTGTTGATTCACTTCGTTCACCACGACCAGGGAGCCAAATGGTCGTGTGCTTGTGTTCTGGTCGTGTGCTTGTGTTCTGGTCGTGTGCTTGTGTGCTGGCCTGATGGCATTATCAACCTGAATTTCTCCAACCTCACAAACGAAGAAGACCCAAAACTGCATGTTAAGCCTCTAGACTAGCCGTTCTAACCACCATCAGCGCCCCGCGCCGCAAACAAAAGCGAGCAACCTCGTAACCAGTTTCGAGAGGCCCCTGACACGAGACCTGTTGCGGGTACAGGCCCCTTGCAGTCCAGCGCTCAAGTTTCGTTGTTTCTAAGTACTGCGCGCCACAAGCTCTCAAGGTGGGCTATTTTACGATGAAATAGCCAAAGAATGAATGCGTAGAGCGAACAGCGTGGCATGTGTCTCTGAGCACACCCCGACAGCACATTCGGATAGCAGACGAATCAAACTTGCTGAAACTTGAGGCTTGGCATTAGCCTGGAATCTCAAGCCTAGTGATCCCGTCATTGCACAGCCGTCAGGCCTCGGGCTTCAGCAGACCTCGTTGCATTCAACATCACTCAAGGCTCGAGGGTTTGTGTTAATTGCAGTGTCTGGGAAAATCCCAAAATGAGCCGCAATAGCCATGCGCATCAATACGCAGCTTCACGTATTTCACGTAGTATTCGCCTCGACTTGGTGGCCCTTGGAGGGATGCGAAGTTGCTTTCATCACTGAACCGCAGGACTTGGCATCCCTGGGCCTCAGCCGCTTAGTTCGCCATAACCCCTTTAGGCAAAGCTGCCCATGCTTATCTCACATCAGGTCGGGAAAATTACACATCACCCCATTGTGAACGCTACATAGTGGGAATGCACATCAACGGCGGAATTGCACATCAGGACAAAGCAAGCCCCCAGCAGAAGCTGGAATTTGGGCAAAGATCCAACATGGGTCAAACTGCCGGATTTGCTGCGTTTCAACAGCGAATCACCAGGGAGACGCTCGAAAATCAACTAACTGAGGAATCCCTACTTCGATTAAACTTAAACTGCTGGAGGTGGTCGATTTGTCGCAGCGGCGATCAGGGTGACCGAGACCACCCCCAGCAATCATCCGTTACTTAACTTGCAACTCCCGAAGACATGTAGCAGCCTGCACGAAGCCGACACATCTCTGGGGAAGGCAGTTCCCCAATGCGGACGCCAATCGATGCGCAAAAAATCGAGCGATGCGAGATAAAGCGACCACATGCAGGGGCCTCCACTTCCGTTTGTGGGGGCGGAGTAGAGGGTTTTTTGATGGAGCTGAAATGACCCCCCTCCCTGCCCACTCTTTCTGAAGTCTGAGCCCTCAGGCTTTTATATGGCTTTTATATTCCTAATCATTCCTATACAGAAGGGCTTCATCGGCTTCGGCTCCCCCGGTACCAGCGCGAGACCAAGCTTGACAAGGAAAAAATGAAAGAACAAAAGCTTTTGCAAACATAAGCTAGAAACACATGAAACACCACCCATGGCTGGCGAGCGACTGGTCTCGAGTTCGGCATAGATGTCCTCGATCACACCGCGCTCCTGCAACCGAACCAAGGCAGTCTCAAGAAAAAGGGCTCCCTCTTATTGCAGGTATAGGACACCACCTTGACTGAAGACTGTAACGACGTAGCGGCGACCGAAGATCCATAAGATCCCTCAGCCCGCTCCTCCAGGTAGCGCTGAAGCGCGGCTGGGTCGTCCTGGAGCTCCGGCCTTCGAAGGCTTGGATCCCTTCGCTGACGGAACTTGAGTTTGCTTTCACGGAAGCAGTGTCTGCCCGCTGACCCGTGAACCCATACATTTCCCCAAGCCCTGATCTGGTTCTGGATGCCGCACCTTTCTTCGAGGATTCTGGCGACGGTCGGGTTGCCACGGAGCCTTTGAGACGCAAGGGCGCTTGGCACCAGTTGTACCCCATGCTCTCTGGAAGAGAAAATCAGCCACATCCAGGTTGTTAGCATGCCCTTCTGCAAACAACCTGGCCTGAGCGCATCCTCTGAAAGTCTGAATTCCTTGAGGGGGTTGCCACAGAATCCTGTAATCCTGTAACCAAAGCTTTTGGAGGCGGCCCGCTGGGGCGCCAGCTTGTCGCGGATCAAGGACCTGATGGAAGCCATATATTTGGGGTTTCAAGACGTTCATCGCCGCCAGCGGGTTTGGCTTTCGGAATCAGGTCCAGGTGGCGGCTTGGAACCAGGAATCGTGATTAGCAGGTCAATGCCCAAACACCCCGCTCAGGAAACTACAGAACGCTCGGAATGCGCACTGACTCCAAAGCCCATAATAACATGCAATGCTCGCACGCCGTTGTCGCAGACATTAACAAACAACTGGAACTTCAAGCCCATACGCACATGCACACATACACACATATTGTACACATGTACATAATACATATAGTTACATAGCAGTACCTCTACATAGTCGAGCCCCAACATCGACAGAGCCGATAAGCCTTACGTTGCCACGCAAAACCGGGCCGAGCGGCTTGAGCGCCTCCATGCGCTCAGTCTTTCCATCGCTTGTGGTGTGTGAGTTTGTTTGGGACGGGTTTATAGAGGTGTCATGAATAGTTCTGGGTCGCTGAAGTCCAGCCTCGCATGCTGCGACGCTACCTTTCATGACTCTACCTTGACTGCTGTTGGCGGGCGCCAGACTCAGGCCCGTGCACTTGGTGTTCAAAGTTCGATGCCGTCGTCTGGGAATGCAGTGTGCAAAAGGTTTTGCCTCATGCGTGCCCGGAGGCAGCCTGAAACCGAAACGGGCAAAGCGACGAAAAAGTTCTACTTCACCACTTCACCCCAAGTCCACGTTGAAAACTCACAACCCACTGAAAACCGTAAAACCCAACGACATAGCTAAAACTAGGCAGCCTGAAGCCCTTTGGATGTCATACTGGGCACGGTCTAGGGTAGATGGCTGCTGACATTGGCTGACGAGGGCGCGCTTGCGGCTTTTGAGCAGCCTGACCCACGAGTTGTCAGAAACTCCCGAACTGCTGTCCCCGGTCTTTGCAGGGCACGGGCTTAGGGTCGAAAGGGATGTTTAAGGTTTGGGGCACGCCACACGTCCCTCGTTGCTGTTGTTCCTCCGGCGCGCCGACAGCTCGCAGCCTGGCCACGTGTTCCATGCAGCATAGGGGCGCGTATTCTCAGACATTCGCTTTATGGATGAGCTGGGGGCTGAGGATTGCGACGCTTCGGTGTCATGGGCAGCCTCATGGTCTACAAAATTTTCGGTTCTTCTTCTTCTTCTTGGGATCATGATGGTTCACGGTTGAGCAATTTCAGGTTTCAAGGCTGTTGGCAGCGTATGCGGGCGGAGCGTTCTCAAGCTTCAGGGTTTTGGGCGGGCTCATGGCAAGAACTTCCATTTTGCGATTGAGCAGTCTCAGGCTTCAGGCTTCTTGGCAAGCGTTTTTTGACAAATTTGTTACTTTGCTCCTCCCAGTCGCAAGCGGTTTTGCGACTCCTGCTTAGTCAACCATTTGCATCAAAGCTGCAAACCTGGCCATGTGCCGAAACTCACGTGGAACATGCTTTGGCTTGTCAGATTTGGGCTTCGGGCTGCAGAATTTTCAACTTAACATCGTATCCTCTGACCAACCCCTGCGGTCGAATCCACAGAACAAACTCAGGTCACAATTTTGTGACCAGTTTCTTGCGGCAACTGTATGAACTCCAACTGGCATCAGATGACTCCGGCTGCTTGCCTTCTGTCGGATGTCTTGATCCATTTGTGCCACTGGGCCTCATGGACCTGCTGCTTATTGGGAACATGGACGTAATCATCGTCCGTGCATGGATGCTCTGGCCATTCACACGCACTGGTAGCATGGACGTAATCATCAGGTGGGCATGGATGTTCGCACGCACTGGAAGCGACAATGTGCCTGAGCGGTCTTTTCCCGTCGCATGCCTAAAAGTAAAACATCCATAACCCGAATTCATGGCCCGTTCGTCCCGTTTGCTATTGCTAAGGCTAAGGCCTCCGCGCGGCACCGTTCCTGCGCAGCCACCTTGCGATGCAGGGGTTTGGAACACAAGTTTTTCCATCTAGAACAGTTTGAGGTGTGTTAATGTCTGCAAAAAATAG